TTGTTGTTGTTGTTGTTGTTGTTGTTGTTGTTGTTGTTGTTGTTGTTGTTGTTGTTGTTGTTGTTGTTGTTGTTATTATTATTATTAAATATAACAGTTTTGAATCAGAAAATAAATTATTATAATTGACAAATATATTACAAGCTACCAGATTTAAAAAAAAATAAACTGATTATATTTAAAAATTAACAGATTAATCAGAAGTCATTTAATCTTTTATAAAAAGAATTAGAATTTTGATAAAAGATCAAATGATTCTTGAATTATAAGTGAGTTTCCATTTCAAATACGGATTTTAGCCGGAAATGCATAAAAAATTATCAAGAAATCTCAATTCTCAAGATTTCATTATCATATTTTCAGAGAATTTCTAATGAAATTACATGTAGATTACTATAATTCCGGATATGTATGGTTTTTAAAATGCCGCAAATAATTTGAATCTGAATTTTTTTCACTTTGTATTAGAGAATCCTTTTTCATGCTTAATTAGTACTCAAAGCAAGTGAATTAATTTATTTTTCCAATTTTTCAATCAATGCATCAACTTTATAAAAAATCCAATTTCCAAACGCTAAAGAACGCGGCCACCAAGTTTTCACAGGCAAGGTGAGCACGTGCATATGTAGATGATAAACGGAATTGAATGGAGGGGTAACAAATCCCATCCTAGTTCATATTAAATTTAACGGACATATATAAGAGATAATATAATACTATAATACTGATGTATACATACATGTACTCGAGCTCATTTTCTCCTTTTTTTCTTATTTGCTCAGTTATCAAAGGCGTCGCGATTTCCTTCATCCTTTTTACTATTAACGCAATTTCAAAAAAAATTAACTTGTAAATCATCAAAAACTAAATTTTCCTTATGAATGAATTGAGTGAAATCTTTATATACATAATGGCACATCGCTTTGTTTCAAGTAATTGATATTTTTGATGTGTTGCTTTGTAACTACAAGAAAATGGATTTCTGCTGCTGGCGAAATGTCGTTGAATGCTATGATCGTGTCATCCTTTAATCAATGTTAATCAACTTGTAGCATAAGTACTATCAGTATTAAATTAATAAAGGTGAAAATGAAATAAATTTTTTTACCTCGTAAAGCAATTTTGTTTTATTTGAGGTCGGGTCAACTGCTATTTTGCAAAAAATACAGCTTGATTCTGACATATTTTCAAGATCTACGTAGCAGTAAAATAGGTCAACATAGAAAAGACAGCATGACCTTTTTGTGTTCAATTAAAAGTTACATGTATCTCGAAAAATACATGTGCATCTAGCCCAAATACGGGTAAAATGAAAAAAAAAAGAATTTTACATGTACATGTACATGTACATGTATTTTCGTAACACCAAATTTAGATTTTAAATTTTATTATCGTTATCGTTATTTAAATCGCATCTTGAAAAGTTGGGCTAACGCCAAGATGGCTTTGAATATTGAAAAGCTCATTTTTACAATATTATTCTTGATGCATAGCAAAACTGCGCGATGAAATCTTCATCCGTCAAAACCTCAACCTATTAATTATGATTCTCAATTATCAATGAAACAATAATGATTTTCGAATAGAAATGAAAAACAAACCCACCCCCTGTATTGGACATTTTTGCATCAATTCAATTTCACTAGTATCGGCTACAATAACAAAGTGTCGATGATCTTGCGCATATAATGTATGCATTCGTAACATGGTTTTATAGAGGGTTTTGAAATCACATGCGGCTCCATACTATACAAACAAAAATTAGAAGTGAAATCAACTTTGACAAATAAATGCAAAAAAATTATTTACTGGTCCTAATTCCCGGTCATCCAAATATCGAATTTTCTGTTTTATCAATAGATCGTAAATCCTTTGGTACGGAGTTCGAATTGGATTACTGATTATTAGAAATAAAATTTCAACGTTAAATAATTGGTAATAAGTAGAATAATTTATTATGAAATTTACTTTGGATACGATAGTTTCCACTCGTTCTCGAATGCTGCTAGTTCGTTGTGCATTTGAGGTACTAGAACCAATTTCCAATTTTCATTAGGATTCACAAATTTTCTCTAAAAATTATGAGTTCATTCAGGATAATTGTATCAAAATTTTGCTACTAACAATAATAAAAAAAGCTTACCTGGGAGACGACTTCGTTGGCATGAGCAGTACTATTAGGCTTAGTGCGTAATACTTCCCTGGTAAATGTAATAATACCTCCTAGAGAAAGTAAAATAAAAGTAAATAAATAATTTTCTAATGAAATACCTTAATACTTGCCTGATTTTAATATTTCTTCTAATACATAGAGGCCACTTTCAAGGCTCCAACCAAACTGATAGAAGCGACATGAGTTTTTTCGTTTTGCCGCATTGAAGTTGTCTATGAAAAATATTTGTTTGCGCATTGATAAATGAACCTAACAGCAAAAAAGAGAAAAGATGTAATTCACATATCTAGCCAAAAAAAAGCCACAAAACAAATACTGTGCATACAAAAATGACGGTAATGTCTTCGTTTGGTTGATTGGTGCATTCTATCCCACCAAAAGCTTTCAGTGCACTTGTGATTTCTTGCACTTCTGCAAGATCAACTGGACCAAACACCATAAACTTCGGCCTATTCGCGCATATAGCTCGAAATTCGTCGCCTTTCTCGGATGCAATTGATAAAACGCCAGCCGTGTACATGTCTGGATCGTGAAGATTTTGCGACATGAAGAATGCTTTATCTGTGTCTTTTGGGGTGACAAGAGGCAACTTTGGTACAGTAATTATTTTTGAGATGATGAAGAATGGACATTGAGGTCGTTCTCCTAAACGAAAGAATTCTGTGGTTCTTTTTGAAGTGTGAACGACCATCCAGCATTTTGTTTCTTCTTTATCCAAGTATATTAATCCAATCTAATCAGAGATTTGAATTTGTTAAAAATTAAGATGTGAAAGTAAAAAAATCAACATTCTCACCATCTCATTCCATTTAAGCATAGCAGATTCAATCTCTAGCATTTTCATGGATTTCTTGTTATCTTCGGGTGCTTCCATTGTGAACATTGAAAGCTGAAACATGTCTGGTGTTGTCTCTTTGAAAAGTAATTCGACATAGTGCAATGGCAAAACCTTGGATAATACGAGCCTATCCATATTCTGGCAATCTTGTCTATTAGAATATTTGTATGGTGTGAGAGATATTTACTACATATTACTCAATTAATTGCGCCAGAATGGTGTACTCACAAAAATGATGCATCGGGACAGCGATTTTTCATTGGCTTTACTATCACTTCGGCCAAATTTTGAACCAGCTCGCCCCTTACAAGATTGCCTCGCCATTCGTTCTCACTTTACAATAAATCTTGATTAGATAATAAAAAAATCCAACTTCATTCCAAATATATAAAATAGGTTTACCGTGTTTCGGAAACTGGATTTACGGCATCGTTGAAAAATTTCTCGTTTGCTTTCATTATCCGGTTTTTTGAGGATAATTGCAATTGACCACATTTGGCTTTAATAATCTTATCCAATTCTGCGGCTGGTAACACTATCCCTGATAAGGCTTCGTTAGCTTCCTTTGAACCAAATTTTCGTTGCGGCTCTGGTTGTATTTGATTAACATCCACAACATTTTCAACAGGTAATTCCTTTTCCTTTTCCTTTTCTTTGTTTTTTAAAATTGATTTAATAGTAAAGTGTGGTTGTGGTGGCAATAATTCTCCTACTTTTTTGATATTGTTGGGAATAATGGCATTGTCACTGATGAAACTAGCACAATTTCTCTCTGTTTCTTTCAAAAAATTTCCATTCATATTGGCATGACTATGATCGAAACTTGAGCGAATTCTCTCTACTTCTTTCTCTTTTTCCTTCCGTGAATTCCCAAATACAGGTTCGTTATTATTCGTGAAATTCCGTTCCACCGCTTTCTCTTTCCTTTTGTTAGAAGACGCTACATTGACGAATTCTTTTTTAGCACTCAACTCGAAGGAATTTCGCTCCTTCTCTTTCTCTTTATTTGAAGTTCCGACGATTGCATTGCTATTCGTGAGATCAAAAGGATTTCTATCGGTTTCTTTGTCCCATCGGAAATCCTTATTTGCAATAAAGTCGTAGGAGTCAATTTGCGAAATACTATTCGACCGGTGCAATGCTTTGAGAGCATTCGATCTAGATATAAGATTAGATATTATTATTATTATTATTATTCTTGATATTAGAGGTTATAGGATACTCACGAAATTTGTGTTCTAATGTTTCACAAATTAGTGCATAATTAGAAAGAGTTTACAAAACGCGTAAAATGACACGTAAATTTTTGTCTCATTTTACTTACGATCCTGTCAGGGAGTTTGAGCGATCAAGATGATTGTATGATTCGAAAATTTCTCCATCTTCCATTCTTACATCGTCGCTGTCACTGTAAAATAATTTAAAATTTGAGAAATAATTAATCACGCTTTTATATTAATTGATTGATTGATTGACTTACCTATCGTCATGAAACTCGCGTATATTTACATTTCTAAGCAGAACTATTAATAAATCAAGTTTGGTAGTGAGATTTTGTTTGATAATATTAAAATAGGAAATGGGAACTTGCCATCAATTTCACGCTTCATTTCCAATAATGCAGGTTGTAGCGGTGGCGTTATTGGTATTATATTTTCAGTCATATTATCATTTTCCCATGGCGGCGAAATTTCGTCGAAATTATCAATTTGCATATCATCATCATCGGAATCCTATAAACCAGAGTTAGACACTAACACGCACGAAAAGAGAAAACTAAACATTAAAACTAACCTCAAAAGGGATTTGATATTTTGGATCAGGTAAATCTTCCTTTCTGACCCATTCCCAATCTTGATTCCATTTATTGTCTAAATGAATTGAATGAATATTCGATAAATTTCCTTGACAAATAACGAAACACTATATTCAGCAGTTACCTTTTTTAAAATACACCTTGTAAAGTATATTTGGACCAACTTCTCTTGTTTCCTTTATTTTATAGCAGAAACTACTGTTGTTGTCGTGGTTGTTATCGTTGTCGTCGCTGATGTCAATGGATTGGATATTTAATTGGATGATGAATTGTGAATTAAAACTTTCTTGAAGAGTTAAAATAGAAAATAAAATTTTAGCTCGGAAAAATTATTCACAATGATGTTTGGCTCGTTGAATTTAATGAGAAATTGTTAATTTCTTCCAAGTAATTCGTATTTATTGTTCTAGTAGGCTGTGTTGTTGATGTTTGTGTTTGTGGCGTCGAGGATGTTAGATTTTTCAACGGTCTTGCCTGCTTCGACCTATGTGTATAAGATTCGATTATTTGTTAAATTCGGAGGACAAATATAAAGAGTCAAACATACAAAACATACCAGAGAGTTTTCTTTAAATAGCTTTAATATGAATGCAAAAAAAGAGAATTACATGTAGTTTTTATAAAAAGCAAGCAATATATTAAAACTAAATACATGTAAAACTATACATACTCTGCCATAATTCAAATCAATATATTAATTGAAAGCAAGAACGATCAAAAAAAGTAACGAGGTAGTTGTTTAAATGAAAAATTTGTTCATGTGTCAAACAAACAATTATTAGTTTATAAAAGGGAAATTGCTATCATGATCTTTTTCCTGATATAGTGATAAATGGCTTTCGTTAATTTATAACGATAAGGTTGATGTGCGTAATGATACAATGATGCAAAACTAAGGCAAAAGTTACGTTTGATACCGATACATGTACATGTCGAATTTAGGTTACTTTTTGATACATGCACACATTTAAAAACATCGCCCTCCAGTTTTTCATGATGATACAAGAAATTGAATAGACAGTACGTATTTATCGTTACTATGGTTACGTATTGTGCCTAAAGATTTTACAAGGAAAAGTTTATTAACTTAAAAAGGGAAAACTCTCGGTATTAACGTCAAAGAGATGCGACAAAAGAAATTAAAACTTATCCAATAGAAACAGAGCCTTTCTTACGCATAATGTGTAACGTTATCACGCAATCTTTGTTCTTTTAAAAATTATACACAGTACGTAACCACCACATCAACAATGACAATATTCTGAATAATATAAATGAATGGCGTATTGCAAAATTGAGCTAAACAATACGATATGTTCTCAGTGCTTCTATTATCACTAACGAAAGGGTTTTCTTTCAAAAGAAGGGCTGGGAACAATTCATAAAACATTGTTGTACAAGAAGTAGAATCACAAAGAAAAAGCTATTGCGTTGAAACCATTACACAGTTCAATTTACATTAAAAGAGAATTAAAAGTGGAAGCATGATTTTTTATATATATTACTATCAAGGGATTTCAAAAAATCACGGATAATGAACGATTTATGGGTAAATCGTTTTTTAAAAAACGATAAATATTTCGATTATTTATTTATAAATATTACATAGGATTGATTACCTTTAGATTTCGGACGTTCAAGCGACGAGACATAAACTTTTTTATAGATTGACTCTCCAAATTAGTTGGGCCTACGATCTCAATGAAACCATGGAAGATGAGCAACATGGTGTAATTATTGTCTTGACAATTTGATGATGATCTAAATATGGACAATACATGCATTAAGAACTTCTCGTATCAACGGATCCAAATCATTTAAACTAAACCATTATCATTCTGCCCTCCCGACCATATTTAAAGTTAGTTCAGTCAAACCTAAATATAACAAAGGTTAGTAAAAGATTCGGTATGTCCAGGTAAATTTACTATTACTGTTCTTGGAGTCAACAGTTACGTTGTATCCAGGTTTGACTGCATAAGATAATTATATTTTTCTCTCAGGTAATAACTATGACTAACACTTTCGAACACCTCAAAAACAAATTCTATTCAGATTTCAATGTAGTCTTTCTTCTGCCTATGCAACATGAGTCTTTCAGCTTTTTTCACTAACGAATGGTTTTCTCTTGCCAATCCAGACCAAAAAAGTCTATCTCACGAGCATGTCAAGAACGGATTTAAAAAATATTTTAATCAATTACATGTAAAACGGGAAAATTTTTATTTCTGCCCTTTTAAAATGCCGCTGGATGATAGAAGAATCAATATCTCAGATACCATTTCATATAAGATCCGCCTCCTGTTTTTACAATCAAAATAACTTTTTAAAGCGTCTTAATACGGGTACGTCTTGAGTCATCTTCATGCCTCGAGCTTGATGGAGACGATACAGCTAGCAATTATCTTTACTTGTTCCCCATATTGCTGCTATCGAATCCATCTAAAGAACCTGCCCAACAAAGAATATACCATTGAAATCTGAATAGAATTTGTTTTTGAGGTGTTCGAAAGTGTTA